TTTCTCTGGAATTGAATTATGTATGATGATCCCATCGTGATATATCGACATTTTTTCAAATTTGCTTGTTTCTTAATTTTTGAAAGTAATTTGAATTGTCTGTAGCATGATTGTAAATATGTCCAATTCGAATGAAATTCAAGTTTGATTTCTTTGTATTACTTTTAACAGAATGGATGAAGTAGCTAATTTTGACTATATAGAGTGAATTCAAGTCCAGTAAATAGTTTGGTTTATGTAAGATCAATGTTGGTCCAAATATGGTGATTTATAAATGCTTCTTATTATTTTGTTTTGTGAGGTTTTCACAGGTTTGATTATAGCTTGTCTTGCTGTTTCCCAAACAGAAATAAGATAGTGCAAATTTGAGAAAATGAGACTGAAATTTATATTTTTGAAAATGTGAAACGAAAATACAATAAAACGAAGGAAATATTCAATATACGAAACGAAAATGACCACAGAGTAAAAAACAACAGAAACATATGGAGAATAAAAATAAAAGTGAGCAACAAAAATTTAAAATTCAAAGCAAAGTACTTCAGAACCACGTTTCGATTGTTAGTAACCACAATCGTTTTCGGGTGTTGACTGGACTATTCCTCCGAGGAATGACTATTCATAGGTCATTCGAGCGCTTTCTCCTATCCTCTCTTTCCTTTTTTGGCTTCACCTGTTTAGCGGGAGTCGACCGTTTGGTGGGAGTTGAACATTATCCGCTTGATTACAGGTTTCCAGATGTTGCATATCTCTACGCTAGCTTGGCTGAATGCGCCGTTGGACAACATATATGCAGCTTTTTTGAACTCTCTCTCAAACCAGGGTCCCTCCTTGTGGATGATCTCAACCTGGGACCACTTGCTGTTATGATGATGAGTCCAAACATGTTCTGCTATTTCTAATTTGCTGGTTCCTAGTTTTCGTAAGGCTGCTACGGATGGTGTTTCCGGATCTGGAGCAGGTTGTGGTGTTGTACTTGGACCCAATTCTCCTTGTATTTTCCACAACTCTCTGACGTACGAAAATACAAGCACTGGTTATGATGGCTTGTCTTCCTTGCGAAGGAGCTTTTTTGTATAATGTGCAATGGAAAATATGAGTCCCCACCGGCAGAATACTGGATAATGTGCTCCATTTGTAACCTTTGGGCTTACAAATGCACGGAGGAAACGGAGTGGTACCTAATACAAAAAGGTGCGCCAAGAAGCTGAAAACGTAATGAGTACTTTTCAACAAGAGAATGCAAGTTGCTATCTAAGTCATAAAAGTTGTAAATGTTCATGAGGAACCTATCAGAAAAATATCTATTTGATTATCATCCCAATTTTATTGTGCCACTTTCAAATAGTGATAATGAATGTTAATGTTGGACAAATATCAGAAAAACTCCAAACTTTGCTCTAGTGAGCAAAGTTTGGATAACTCTAAGTAAGTGAAATTCATTGAAGAACCCATCATACCAATATTGGTAGAATATTGTAGTGTGCATTGTGTTTGAAATATATTTGTTTATGAATATTATGTATTTCATTACTTCATGTATATGCATTTTGATGCATGAATATATGCATAATATCATATACTCGTTACATTTTTGGAATATTGCAAAATATTCCTAGGATATTCATAAAATATATTTGAAGAATATCCTATGGTAATTTCTTATTTTATATTCCTACAATAAACTATGAATATCCCGAATATTTTATGAATATTCCTTGGGTTCTATTCCTGGAATATACTAAATAGCATATATATTACATATTCTCAGAATATTTCAAGATATTCCAAGAATATTCCCA